CATTCAAAAACCCTTTCACGTAAGAAGTGATATCTTCGTCAGGGGTAGGAATTATTATTTCTTTTTCACCCCAATTGCAATCCTTCTTTAACTGATCGAGGTGTTTCTCGGTTATCGAATACATGTACCTCGATACCGGCTCACACCGGCCAGGGACCGATGAACCTTTATCAACCTTAAAATCTGAAGTAAGGACACACGCCCCGGGAACACACTCTTCAGGCCGTGGTTTTGCCGGTGTCTCATCGACGACACACTGTGAAGATGAAGCCTTCTCTTTCTGAGGAATGATTTTCGATGTTTTAGCCATTTTTGAATTCAAAGGTAAGGAATAGAAGAAAGTGACAGAGATTTGGTAGAATTGAAGAGGGGGTTTTGAGGAAAGAAATCACAGATTTACTGGTAAGTTGGAGAGTACGAAGAAGAACTTGGGAAATTTTGGAAGATAGAAGATGTAAAAGTGGTAAAAGATAAAAGTAAGGGTTATTTATAGGTTCAAACGATGGCGGTTCAGTATCAGCAGTGGCCGACCACCGCCTCACATGCATTAAATGCCTTGAAAGACTAAACCGACGGGACAACTACCAGATGCGTCATGGTCGAACCCGATGGAAACGACAGGATATAATCCGATCGAGCTATTAAAAATCATATCGTTTCTCGCAACATTCTTTCTAAGAAACGAGGGGACTATCTGTATACGATCGAAATAGATTTCGGCCTTGGCACGTCCAATCGAGTTCGAACGGTGATTTATCGAAGTAAGATCCCGAAGGGGGAACAAACTAACCTCGAACCCGGGGAGGCCGATCCGTTTCGAGTTCGATATCATTATCAAGCTCGAATAAGAATCGAACCATGATGCAGAGTAGACCTATCATGCTGATAATCCAGAGACCAACCAACATTGATCTTGAATCAATTCGAGGGCTCGAACCAGGATCGGGCTCGAACCAAGATCACAAGTTCGAGCCGAAATCAAGCTCAAACCAAAATCGAGGGTTCTAAGCAAGATCGAGCTCGCAGACAAAAGCCGTTGCAATCCCACTAGAGAGAATCTTAGAAGAAATTATGGAAAAGCTGACTTATCATGGGTCTCCCAATGAATGTTTATTTTATTATGCTTAGAGCCAAATCACTCCACTATAAAAGGGCTTGGTTATCATTTATGTAGAACAAGTTTTTGAGAGGCTTACGTTGTAATAAAAGTGTTATATTCTTCTACAATAAAAAATCGCTCTTTCAGGCTCCTTAGATTGATTCTATTTGTCGAATCCTAAGGTTCATTGTTCCTGATAACCTTATCTATTTTGCATTCTCTCCGATCTATATTTATATTTTTATTTATCCTTACATTTTGTATTAAGTTACGCCACATATTCTCGAAATTGCAGTTAAACATTTCGTTTTCGTTTTCGTTTCCCAAGATTCGCCGAATCGATTGTCCTATGATATATACTCTATATTTGAATAGGTCTGTCATCAAATTAATCACTGAATGCCGAAATCACATTCTTGTTTTTGTAGTATAAGTTAAATTAAATTGTTCCACTCCCAAGTAAGCCACGAAGAAGTTTACCAGTCTTTCAAGTGCCTATTCTTTCTTGTTTTTGCTGTAGGGGCGAAATGGAGTTGTGATATGTTACTACTTATTCCATAAATATTCTCTAATCATTTAAAAAGTATACCCAACGCCAATTTCATAAAACACTACCTAACAATAATAATAAAATATTCGCAAAGAGGAACATTCATATTTTGCTAGTTGCTATAAAGTTAGAAAACATGATATCCAAAGTTCATGAAATATATGCGAGGATATTTTACTATGACTAATCTTAATACTCATAATGTTTATATTTTTCGATGAAAGAGATGTATCAACAAAGCTACAGAAAAGAGCATCTTAATCCTATTTTTATAAGCTTTTGTAAGGAATTATATAGCAATCTTCATTCTTGAGGCCTATATCACCTATCTCCCTCAAACTTCACTTCTGAAGCTTTTGGGCCGTGAAATTGACATGGCGGCCTTTCGCTTTTGTATGCCTGGGCTTACGATTGTCTGGGCCAAACTTACACAGTTTGTATTTCGTTTTTATTCTGAAACGAAATATGGGCTTAAGATTAGTTCTTCAACAGTTCAGTAGTAAAATGCTATATAAAGAGAATTTTACACTACAAGAAATTAGATCAAGATTTTCTTTTCACTTTTATATCCAGTTTATATGGTTTAAAAGAACATTCTTTTACATTTGCTTTTTGCAGCTATTCAAAAATAACTCTAATAGAAACTAAAGAAGCTTAACTTAGCTGACATTACTTTTTTGTGATATAGATATAAAAAAGTTTTGAAATTTTTAGAGTTTTAGTATATTTGTTAAAAACTTTTTGATCTAACTCCAAACAGAATAATATTCCATTCAAATGGGCCAAAATTTTCAGCCATAAGACATTTTTGGCCATTTAAATATTTCTTAAAAAAATAAAGTTGGTATGTTCTCTCTACTGGTTGTTGTGGATCCTATCCTCCCTCGTTCGTCCCTTTCATATTTTGGGAGGTTGATCATAGACCGAAAGTACGGGCAAATTAAATTTCAGTAATTTGACTTTGGAGGAAAGAAACAAATTAAAGCATTCCACACATTATGAGTTTATTAATTTTTAATTTATTGATGAGGGAAAATCTAGTACTACTTGTTTGGAGAAAACACAAGGGGCAGGCCACTAGATTGATTGAGCTCTTTGTTACACGTAATTGTGAATCTTAGAATATTGATTGAGACTCCGCACTGGTATAAAAACATTCAAGCAATCAAGTTAATTACTCCTTATTAAGCAATTACATACAGACTTTTATGTAAAATATTAAGTGATAATCTGATAAAAATAATAACCAGCTAATAAGTTAGACTATACTAATGATGTAGGAAAGAATCTTTACATTGTCTAATATTCACCTATCAATGAGACCAAAATATAGAAGCATATTATTACATCACAGATGCATGTCAAAAAAAAAAAACCAATAACAATAATACGATGGATGCAGTACATTCATTAATCACAGAGCAAATGAATTATTAAGATGGTCCATTAAATTCTTACTAGATAATCAATCAGATAAGATAACACACTAATATATATCTAAATTAATCGATGACTATAATTTCCTTCAGCTGCTAAAAGTTAAGGGACATCTTCATCCCCTTAATTCTATGGGGCTATTCAAGAAAAAAGATAGAATATTCTAAAAGCAAAAAGTTAAATTTATCTTCGACTTATTAACCTAGAACAGTATCCGTCAATTTATTGTAATTTCCTGATAGGGAAGGGAAAATCATTCATTTCTCGTTTGTATGTCGTTGGGATATCGTGTCATATGTTGTACATGTATCAAATTAAATATCATAATAAGTACTTTGACATCACCCATTTCCTAACTACTGTCCTGTGTCATGTCTATTGAGCCACTTCTTAGTGGTGTCGGATCATATAAAATCCACCCAGGTGTTGAACCTTCTATTACTTTCTTTTTTTTCTTTTTTTTTTGAATTATGCTTTACTGTCTCAAATATCTTTAAGATAAACTAAAAACCCGATTGAACATATTTTAATATATTAGATTTTATTAAGTCAACAATAGTACATGAAAATTTTAAGTTTACAGCGATCAGATTTTCACATCTAATCTCGCTTCGATGTTTATGGATGTAACCTTATGATACTAATTGTTGTTATCTATTTGTCAATTAACAAATGGATGCATTCTTACTAATTATCATTGTGTAATATAAATAATACAACAAGTCAAGAGCAAAAACAGGAAAAAAAAGCTATACTTTCTCGCTGGGGCGTACATAAGTCGGATTGGTTCGAATTTTCTAATTACCTAACCAAACCAATTATATCGGGTTATTAAATCTAAAGACCAAACAAAACCAATAAAAGTCGGATTTTTAAATCTCGGATTTTCGGGTTGTTACGGGTTTTTTTATCATAAAGTCTTCATAGCACATAACATAGAATTTGTGCTTCAAATATTTTTGTAATCCTAGTAAGACAGAACTATATCAGGTATTTTTTTAATAAAATAACATAAATATGAGATGATTCATGGTATTGTACTAAAATATTCAACAATAAATATGAGAAAATCGCATAAAATAAATATTATTAATTAGCCATAATGAAAACAAACATAATTTAAAATCACTAATAAGTTTCTAAAATAGATACGACTAATTATAAGTACTATTATTTACATGACTAAACACTAAAAGAATAATAAGTTATGCATTTTATCTAAACCATGGAAAAATTAAAAAATAGATATCCAATACTATTTTCATTTATAGTACAATTGAATTGAGTGTCTTTTATTATCATTAGTATTGATTTGATTTTGGTTTAGCATTTATTTGAGTTACTAACATTTATGGACTACAAAACTTATTGGAGCATCCAAAAATTATAAGTTCAAACTTGAAATAATGCGTTAAAAGATAAAACTATAAAAAAAGCTTAAGAAATATTTATAAACTACACTACCATAAATATTTTTATGTATTAAATATATTTAAAACTTCTATACATATAATATCGGGTTGGTTTGATTTCGGTTTGACTTTTTTTAGTTAAAACCAAACCAAACCAAATATCGTCGGGTTTTTTTTCCAACACCAAACCAATCAAACCAAACCATAGTCGATTTTTTTTTCTCGATTTGACTCGAATTATCGATTTTACGGTTTGTTGGTTTCATTTGTACACCCCTACTTCTCACTCTATATTGAGATTGGTTATATAAATTCTCAATGTGTATATAGCTACATTTAAATTTGTCTTAATCTAATATTATAAAAAAATTAAATTATCTAGCACCACAATTTTAAGCTCAAGGAGAGGCTTCACACCATGGGGTAAATACAATCGCTGATAATTTTGTAGCTGTTCAATTTTTCCACACGCGTAATTCTCGTGGGTCACGACATTGTTCTATTAGTGGAGTCTCTAGTCCTTTTTTTCTTCCTTTTGAAAAGAAAAAGTCTCAAGTCTTTGTTCCAATGTAGAGAAGAAGAAGCGCTTACCAATAAATACGTCAGTCTTCTTTCTTTTTCTGAATTTTCTTCAAAAACCTCTCTCTGTCTATAGCCAACAGTTGGAAGTAGCAGTCTGAGAGATGTTAAGCTCCTGCTTAGGAAGCTGCTTTGGTGGGGGCGATGGTGATGGTCTTATGTGGCACATGGATTTAAAACGACATGCCACAGGTGACTATTCAGTTGCAGTGGTTCAGGCCAATTCGTTGCTTGAAGACCAGGGTCAAGTATTTACAACCCCTTCTGCTACTTATGTTGGTGTTTATGATGGTCACGGTGGCCCTCAAGCTTCTCGTTTCATTAACAACAACCTCTTCCCTTATCTCCAAAGTAACTCTAAATCTCCCTCTTTATATTACTATTTTCTTGTCAGTCACATAAGTCCAATATAATAGTAACAAAAGTATGCTTGTTTAGTTTTTCTGTTTTGTTTCTAACCTAGTAGTATAATTTTTCTAACACCTTCATTGTTGGGTTCTCTTCTAGTACTTTCCATTTTTATTTTTATTTTGTATGTATTATGTTGGCCTGAGATGAATATAAATGGGGAACATTTGTTTCGTATAAACTACCCCAACTTGTTTGGGACTAAAGAGTAGTTGTTGTTGCTTGATTTTTGGATTCTGTGGTGATTTTACTTATGTTGTTAAAATATCATGAGATTGAGGGCTATGTTGCTCGGACTCTTCAGAAATGCCGTCGAGTGCGTGTCGTATCTTCCAAGAGTAGTGTATTTTTTGAAGGATCCGGCATGAGTATGACAACAATATTTTTGGAGAGTCCAAGCAACATAGATTGAGGGGATTCTTTGAGAAAACTGACTAACTTGCTCATATGTGGAGTGGAAGAGAAAAAGGAAATGAGCTTGTTCAAATTGTAGAAAGGTTCAATTTTTGAATGTCTGAATTAATGTTGTTAAGAGATATTGGAAATTTCTTGAATTGTTTTTCATTTCCTTACTTTGGATATTGTAGAGATTGCATTGGAAGAAGGAGGATTATCTGAGGATGTGATCAGGAAAGCATTTGATGCCATTGAGGAGGGATTCTTGCATTTAGTGAAGCAGTCTTGGCTTGATCAGCCTCAGATTGCTTCTGTGGGATCTTGTTGTCTTGTTGGAGCGATTTCGAAAGATAAATTGTACGTGGCAAATCTTGGGGACTCCAGGGCAGTGCTCGGCAGGAGAGTGGCAACTGGCGAGACGGGTGATTCAGCAACATTTGTGGCAGAACGTTTGTCTATAGATCATAATGTTGGGGTTGAGGAGGTAAGGAAAGAGGTAGAGGCACTGCATCCCGATGATTCTCATGTTGTTGTCTACACTCGAGGGGTCTGGAGAATCAAGGGTATAATTCAGGTATCTCACTAGTTTTGATTACTCTTTTAACTCATTCATGGTTCTTAAATTTGTTTACTAGACTTCCTGGTATTCTGCTAGTTATCTAGTATGAACATAAACTGTGTCAATTGCAAGTAGACTACTATACCAATCTTGAATCTTGAATCTCTTTCCCTCTATATGCTCTTTTTTGTTTTTCGTTGATACATAGTTTTGGACACCATACATTTGGACATAAAGGTGAGGATAGGGTTGGAGTTGAGCAGGGGGATTGGAGATAGTAATTATCGATACACCCTTTTTAGACCTCTAGCAGTAGTGAATCGGACCTCCAAATGATGAAGACTAATTAGTCTTTTGGGATATGCTGTATTTACATAGTTGATATGACTAGGTAGTTTCTATTCAATCTAAAAGACATGGTGGAGCTTGGAAGGAGAAAATGGTCAGAGCTCTTTTCATTCTCAATTCTCACTTTCCAATAAGTTTAGAATAGGCCATCTACGATTAACTGTTAACGGTCTAGACACGTTAAAAGTCTTCCTTGAGTGCCTCTTTTCGGTTTTGGCATCAAATTTGCTTTTGTTTACTGTTTCGGAGGTTATAGACCATGTATAATATTCCTTTTTAGCTTCTAATCCTATCACGTTATATCCTTATCAAAATCTAGTCACGTCATGTGTGGATTATGTTGGTGCACTTGTAGCAAGTTTATCATGCCTTCTAAACACGTTGTATGTCAAGTTCTTACTGAGTGACTCTTTTGGTTTTGGCAATAAATATGCTTGTATCTGCTACTTTGAAGGTCTTAGACCGCGGGTAGAATTGATTTTTCTATTTCAGGCTAGTAGAAGACATCTCCATTTAGTACTTAAGGCAGTGTCAAGATTGATCGATTGCACATATGATATTCAAATCAAACCCCAATCATTTTGTTGCAGCTGTAGTAATCTCATTCTTATGTACAGACACAAAGGAATCTCCTTTCCCATCTAGTCTTTAGCTCTTAACCACTATAGCAATTTTTTTTGTAGCTAGAATTTGTAGCAGAGGTTACATAGTGCTGAATGCTGATCTTGCCATCTTGGATCTTTCATTTTAATATAAAGTTTGAAACTGACAATTTTTATTAAAAGCTTGCTAACAGCCAATTTCAGGGAGTATCCTATGGTTTGACAAAATCCATCTAATGTTGCCTATTGGCCTGAACCAGGTTTCTAGATCAATTGGAGATGTCTATCTGAAGAAACCTGAGTTTAGCAGAGATCCTCTCTTCATACAATATGGATATCCTATTCCTTTAAAAAGAGCTGTAATGTCAGCAGAGCCTTCTATATTGATCCGGAAGATAAGACCAGAAGACTTATTTTTGATATTTGCATCAGATGGCCTATGGGAGCAACTGAGCGACAAAGCAGCTGTGGACATTGTTCTAAAGAATCCTAGAACTGTGAGTATCATGTTCTATACGGTTCTATAATTTCTGGAAACAGTAACAACTCTCCTTGAAGCAATTTTCGTGATCAAACTCATCCATGTTGAACATAATTAACTAACGAATAAGATAGTGATACTTTCTTTCCATTTCTACAGGGAATAGCAAAACGATTAGTGAGAGCTGCCCTTGAGGGGGCTGCAAAAAAGAAAGAAATGAGATATGAGGAAATCAAACGACTAGAGAAGGGGGCCAGACGGCATATTCACGATGATATAACAGTTATTGTTATATATTTGGATCGCCAGGACATGCCCGCAAATGCTAGATTGAACATTGTTAAGGGCACAAGCGTCCCTGTCGACATATACTCTCTGAACTCCGGTCATCAAGGAGAAAACACATCTTCTGTTTCACCATGAACAATGTCTAGTACATGTATACGGTATACCATCTTGTAAATACATCGCCTTGGAATTGGAGAGTTTTTTCCATTGTACTTTTAAGATATAAATCAACCATGTACATATACCTTGATGTACATGCAACTTCTGTATTGGAGTTGATAGGACTAAGCTGATGACACAGCTCGGCCTTCCACTTTGGTTTTTGACTCTGTCGTGAAAAAGCTATATGTTGTACTTTCCTGGAAATTATACTAAAACTGCATGTTGAAAGTTCATAGATGAAATGAAATTACAGTTTCTTCTCTATTTGAACATTCCATGCTTTATTTGAGAATCTTATCCGTTGATAGACAAATCTATGGTTAACAGATCGCAAGGATAAATAAATTAGACACATTTTCATTAAAGGAAATAGAGTTGGTGATCCTCAATTTAGTAGCCCAGGGTCCCAGCTTCCAAGGTAAAAACAAGAGTTCCTTTCATAGGGCGACATTTAGTAGGCGTTTGAACATGAGAATTGTAAAATTCGAAAAAATGTTTGAAATTTTTTTTTCAAGTGAAAATGATATTTGAAATTTGGAGTTATGTTTGGACATAAATTTCAGTTTGGGTTGTTTTTGAAGTTTTGTGAGTGATTTGAGTGAAAATTTTGAAAAACAGCTTTTTGCAGTTTTTCAAATTTTCGAAAATTTTCAAAATGCATCTTCAAGTGAAAATTGGAAATTTTATGAACAAACGTTGATTTTGAAAAAAAGTAATTTTTTTTTGAAAAAATCTTCCATCAAATTTTATGTCCAAACGGGCCCTTAGACACATGGCTGAAAAAAAGGCCCCAAATACCAAGGAATTTGGGCCAAAATTGAATTCCAATATTTGGGTAAAAATTGCATGAGACGTCCTATTTGGTCACCCCTTTTTAACTTATACCCGTTTTGTTTTTCGTTTGCATCCGTACCCATTTTTTGTTAAAAGCGTTTTAAAAAGACGATTTTGCCCTTCTTTAATAAAAGACTATTGACAAACTGCAGGACAAAAACTTAAGCATGTTTAGGCTGAAGTTTTAGCAAATAAACTGAAAAACTTCAGCTTGTTTAGATTGAAGTTTCGGATAAAACTCAGGACAAAACTGTAGACTGCGTTACAAAACTTCAGCATATTTTGGTATGAAGTTTTAGCATATGAACTAAATAAGTTCAGCATGCATTAGCAAAAACTCTTTAGAAAATTACATACTGCAAGACAAAAACTTAAGCATGTTTAGTATGAAGTTTTAGCAAATGAACTAAAAAACTTCAGCATGTTTAGTATGAAGTTTTAGCAAATAAACTAAATAACTTCGTCATGTTTTGTCTGAAGTTTTAGTAAATGAACTAAATAACTTCAGCATGTATTACCAAAAACTCATTAGAAAATTACATACTACAAGACAAAAATTTAAGCATGTTTAGTCTGAAGTTTTAGCAAATGAACTAAAAAACTTAAGCATGTTTAGTCTGAAGTTTTAGCAAATGAACTAAAATAACTTAAGCATGTTTAGTTTGAAGTTTTGGTAAATGAACTAAATAATTTAAGCATGTCTAGTCTGAAGTTTTAGGAAATGAACTAAATAACTTAAGCATGTTTAGTCTGAAGTTTTAGCAAATGAACTAAATAACTTCAGCATGTTTAGACTGAAGTTTCAGATAAAATTCATGACAAAACTGTAGATTGCAGGATAAATAATTTCAGCATGCATTAGCATGGAGTTTTAGCTTCAATGTGAAATAACTTCATGCTATATTAGCATGAAGTTTTAGCTTCAACACGAAACAACTTCATGCTACATTAGCATGAAATTTTAGCTTCAAGGTGAAACAACTTCATGCAAGTGTGATTTTGAAGATTAATCTGGGCAAGTTTCTGATTTTTTTATAAAGTTCGTGAGAGGAGAGGAGGAGATCGTTTTATATCTTTTGTCAAGGGTGTAATTGTCATATTATTATGGATTTTTTGTGAGATGGCTACCAAATCAATAATTTTAAAATATAAGGTACATGTTAAAAAGTGGCACAAATACAGGGTACAACCTCAAATCCTCCGATATTTGGTTAGTTAGCTCAACAAGGAGATTTGCACAAATTGGATGATTTGGGGCCAGTGTTTATATTTATATATAATATATATTATATTTGAGTTTTTTACACACTTGATCCTTTTTAACTATTATTTAAAAAAATAGCATCATTTATTGTTTATTTCATAAAGAGTACTTTTTTTGTTTTCATTATTAGCATATTACAAAAATAAAGCCCAACATTTATCTTCTTCACTCCATTTTTTAAAATCTGATGCATATGTGAATGCCACCTAAATTCATGATGTATTGATCTATACGTCTTTTATACTTTGTATATCAAATATCACTTTAATTCAAAATGTATTTTTATGTATATAATTTTTGTATATTTATTTGTGAAGTGC